GAGAAATCAAGGAAAATCATTGCGAGAAATAGCAAAGAGCATAGGAAGATCATTACATTTTGTCCAAAATGCTTTATCCAAAAAACAAAAAAGGGAAACTCGCTGTAGACCAAAAAAAACAAGTCCAGAAACAGATAGACGGATCGTCCTAATGGTTAAAAAAGACCCTTTCATATCATCGAAAGCTATTTCTGCGGAGTTATGTAATGAAATCAGTCCACAAACAGTTCGTCGTCGTCTTTTACAAGGTAAATTGCCCGGAAGAATTGCCAGAAAAGTGCCACCAATGCGCCAAAAAAATATCAAGACGAGCTTAGAATTTGCTAAAGAGCACATACAATGGGTGTGAAGGCGAAAAAAAATGGAGAAATATTTTATGGAGCGACGAAACAAAAATAAATTTGTTCGGAAACGACTGCCAAAGAAATGTACGCCGTCCAAAAGGAAAAGAATTCCACATTAAATTTACAAAAAAGACGGTAAAACATGGCGGAGGAAACATAATGGTTTGGGGTTGCTTTTCATGGAACGGTGTTGGTCCGATATACCGAATAGAAGATACAATGAACGCAAGTGGGTATAGAGACATATTGGAAAACGTAATGCTTCCATATGCATCGGAAAATATGCCATTAATATGGACATTCCAGCAGGATAATGACCCAAAACATAGTTCAAGATTGGTCAAAAACTGGTTCCTGGAGAATAATGTACGTGTTTTAAGCTGGCCCAGCCAATCCCCTGATTTAAACCCAATTGAAAATTTGTGGAGTGAATTTAAGATAAGGCTTTCGAAGGAAGTTTTCAAAAATAAAGATGATTTGTGGGAGAAAACGCAAAAAATATGGTACGAAATTCCATTGGAGAAGTGTCGGAAGTTGATATCCAGTATACCCAGAAGAGTGGAGAAAGTTTTACAAAACAAAGGTGGATATACTGGATACTAGTTTTACTTTAATACTTAACTACTTTTTGTAAGAAAAAATTTATAAGCTTTTGTTTAATAAGAATTTTTAAAAATGTATCTATTATTATGAGCACCAAATTTTTCGAAATTTAAGAAATTTAATTTACTTTATAATATTTATTATTAATATTTAAATATTTTGTGTTTGTTTTTTACTTTCCTTTCAACTTTAATAAAATCGCATGAATTTGTTTTATAATTTTACAATAGACTATTATTGTTCTACGTTTAAAAAAAATACATTTAGGTGTATCTATTATTTTGAGCAGATGACATATATATATATATATATATATATATATATATATATATATATATATATATATATATATATATATATATATATATATCTATATATATATATATCTATATATCTATATATCTATATATATATATATATATATATATATATATATATATATATATATATATATATATATATATATATATATATATTGTTGTATTTTGAATGTTTTGAAACCAAATTTATACGATTTTCCAAAATTTGCAGTTTTTTGGATAGAATATTTGCGGCTCCTCGGGTATGCAAAATTTAGAAATAAGAAAAAGTAGACAAAGTAATTACGCGTCGTTTGATGTATATCTCTAATATGTGCTCTTGAAGATATCACTCTGGGAGAAGCTTAAATATTGGAAAAATAAACGTGAAAGTTTCGAAAAAAGGGATTTTCCAATATACCCAAAATATCGCGTGATCGAAATACTTTTAAATTTTACATGTTGAAATCCTAAAGCCGCGATAAAATATTAGCATGCAAAGATGTTAGAGCGAATACAAAAAAATTTCAAATTTTTAATTTTTTACATTAGCGAATTTTCGCATTATAAACAAATTTTAAATACTGAATTTTATCAGTATAAAATTGGTATGCATCAAAACAATTTTATCAAGGCCTTTCGTGGACTGAATACGCGGGTTTCTTTCACAACAAAAATAGATTAAGCACACCTAAGCTGCTAATTTAAATTGGGGACATTATACATCAACCGGTAGCTGACATTTAACGGTTTTTTGGATTAATAATTCATTTAAATCTAAAAATGAAAAAAGCAGTTAATTGTAGATAAGAAGGGATATTAGGGTGGGTCGAAAAAAAAAAGTTGAGTCAGTCACCCCCTGCGATTAAATTATGTTAATAACATTTCCAAAAATATAAAAAATATTTTTTTGCCACGCCTAGAAATACCGCCCTTTTTGTTTTTTATATATAACGTCGCCATTTTAAGTCCGATCGTAACATATAATATATCAATATTTATGGCTTGACTGTAGCAATATTTCACTCTTAGACAATTTTTTAATTCGACGTCATATTCTATGCGTGACTTCTGATATGTCGGATCCTTCCCCAAAATCTAAAATTGTGGCTATACTGAAATAAATTATATTTCATTATATGAGCTATTAGCTTCTAAAATGTTCACTCTTAGACCATTTTTTAATTCGACGTCATATTCAATGCGCGACTTCTGATATCTCTATACTGATATCTCTATACTGGAATAAATTATATTTCATTATATGAGCTATTAGCTTCTAAAATGCTCACTTTTATACATAAACAGCTATTTTACAGGTATTTAACTACAAACAATCTAACTACAAACAATTAATTTGCTAGGGATATGGTCGAAAACTATTTTTTCAATTCACAATACTAAAATTGCATCCTACCCCTATCTTAACACAAGAAAGATAATTTTATTCAGCATTTAATTTTTCAATTTATAACAAAATCACATAGGTACATAAAAACTAAACATTTTATTTTATAAAAATCGATGAAAAATTAAAGAGTTAATACATTTATTTAATGATATATTAACTTTTCTTAAATAGTATATATTTTTAAAGAAGTTCTTGAAATAAAAACTAATAAAAAAATATTAGTCGGGAGATAGGATCAATTATAGACCGATCCTATCAATATTTAGTGGAGCGATTTATGTTCATATAGGAGTTAGATATGTAGAATTTCATCATAATGGTAGTGTTTAAGAGGGAAATAACGACAAGCCATAGTTAAGAGCACCGATTTAATCCATTTTCAAACAACCTTTGGTAAAATGAAATATTTGAGCCTATTTTCATCAAATTATCTGGAAAATTGCGACTTGCAGTTTGATTACAAGGTTTACATGGACGGACAGTCGGACGGACATAGCTAAACCACTATATTGCTGTAGGATATACATACATAGTTTGAACTGTTTGTATAGTCCATTTAAAAAAAATCGACTGTTTTTTCTGGAAAATTAATTGTTTGTTGTGAGAACGGTTGATAAACACTTGAACATTTTTAAATATCTATAAAATAGGTGTTTATGCATAAAAGTGAGCATTTTAAAATCTAATAGTTCATATAATTTAATGTACTTTATTGCAGTACAGCCACAATTTTAGATTTAGGGGAAGGATCCGAGATATCAGAAGTCGCGCATGGAATATGACGTCGAATTTTTTGGTAAAGATGGCCGACAAATAAATATTATTTCGATATGGTACACTAAGAATTCCCAAATATTGCAAAATTTGACCTTTGATCTCTACAGTTTGTGTGTTAAGAATGTCCGATTTTAATAAAACTTCGGATATATATTTTATTTAAAATATGCACCAGTAAAGAATTAATTCGTATTCTCTAAAATATTACAAAAAAATCGATTTTCCCGAAATCGAGTCTCTTATCTATTGACCATAAATCCCCATGATATCTTCTCATGGGGAGATACAAAAAAACTGAAATTGCAGATTTGAAACGGCCGTTGAAAAAATCAAACTTTTTTGACCATAGCTGAGAAGAAATTTGGGTTATCTTATAAGGGCAAAAACTAATATTCGAGTAACTATAGATATATTTTAAGTAACAAAATGTTTTTGTTAAAATATATTCCAAAAAAAGTATTTTTTTTTTGTCACATTTCGAATTCATATGCTGTGGGGCACGTTAATGGACAGGGGAATTTGCAATAACTTTTAAAGTTTACGGTCAAAATTCGCAACTTCGTTTTTTTGGAGCACTCTAATAAGCAGTATTTTTGTTGTTGCTTATTTATCCAAGTATGAAAAAATTGTCTTTTTTATGAAATTTTCAGAGGTTGTCCGGGTTTTTGCTTATACGTATCTCTGTTGTTTATGGACGGATTTTGCTGATTTTAAATAGGAAACTTCTCGAAAGCATGTCTGATAGAATTATTGAAGATTTGGATCCCGAAGATATCTGGGGTCTTCAGAAAACTAATTTCAACAGACAGACAGACGGACATGGCTTAGGCTGATGTCAGAGTGCCTGCTACAAGCAATGTGAAGCTTTGCGCTAAAAACCTTTCCTTGTGTTTTCCTATGTGTCATGTCAGAGTGAAAGCGAAGCTTGATGCTAGAAAACACAAGCAAAAGTTTGTAGCGCAAAGCTTCGCATCGCTTGTAGGCACTCTGACATCAGCCTTAATCGACTCCGCTATCTATAAGAATTCAGAATATATATACTTTATAGTGTAGGTAAATTATATTTTGGAAATTACAAACGGAATGACAAACTTATATGTACCCTTCTCACGAAGGATAAGGGTAAAAATTATTTAAAAAAAACTAAATTGTTTTTTTTTTTTTTTTGAAAGAATGAAGAAATAGCTATCTGAACTCCTTTGGACAATTTTTGCTTGGACCAATAGGTGAAAAGTTACACTCATTTAAATAAAATCCAAAATGTCCAACTTTGACCCCCTCCAAGTCCGGCAGTTTTTAAGCGATAGAGCTGAAAATTTGTGTCTGGCCTACTATCCTATATTGCTAACATTGGTGCAAATTTCATCCGGAAAACATCGATTTTTAAAGTTAGGTCACTTGACACGAAATTGCCCATATATGCATGTATGTATCTGTGCTAAATTTCAGTTTAATAGGTTCTTTCGTTCCTTTGTTGTATTTTACTGTTTAACCATTATTTGTCATCAACAGATAATATTTTGGAAAATATTGATTTATGAATTTTAAATGTTTTATTAATTACAGTTTGCCGAACATGTTTTTCGCACATTTGACGCTAATGGTGATGGTACTATCGACTTTAGAGAGTTTCTTTGTGCTCTTAGTGTAACTTCAAGGGGAAAATTGGAACAAAAACTTAAATGGGCCTTTTCTATGTATGACTTAGATGGAAATGGCTACATATCACGACAAGAAATGCTTGAAATTGTCACGGTATGTATTCTATATTAAAAATATGTTATGTTAACTAAACCCTAACCACCTTTAGCAACGTAAAATTACGTTTTAAGTAACAATAAAACACACAACAAAAGTGTTATATGTATTTGGCTATGTCGTATCCCATATTCCCACCATGAAATCATATGTATGTTGTACAGATGAAGTAAATTTTCGGAATAGGGATTGGGCCAATTACACAGGCCAACGAAATGAAGGTTTGTAAAAGCTTTTAAAACCAATTCCACTGATTTTAGTGTATTTTTATCTTAGCTAGTTTTTCTCTATCACCCTCCATAGTCCCATAGTCACCGATTTGGACTAAATTTTGTAAACACGTAAAAGAAGGTTCACAATCATGAGAAATGACATCCTTTTATTGAAATTTCGAAAACTATGCAACCCTATAACTTTAAAAGTGTTTTAAAATTGCGTAAAAAGCGCCATAACTTTTTACGTATTAAAGATAATTAAAATTTTATTTTTGCGTAAAATTTCCAAAACAACCATTTTGTGAAATTATATAAAAATTTTATTTAAATATTTGTTTGCACATTTCTTTCTAAAAACAAAATTCAAAAATCATACAAAAGAAAAACTCTATTTTTACTTCTTTAAAAATTTAGATTGGGATTCCTACTAGTTTCCGAGATATGACCAAAAATGTGCATGTACATCTGCAAAAAAGGTCCTAAAATATTAAAAATCTTTTTTATTTCATAATTTTTTTTTATTTTCCAACTCAGTAAAATTTATAATATTGAAAACTTTAAATTAAATTATATAAATTTTATACATTTTTTTTAAAGATATATGGATATTTTTGGTCATATCTCGGAGAAACCCAATTTTAAAGGCTAAAAAAACTATGTAATATACAAACATAATATACAAATTAAAAAAAAATAAAGATAGATTTTTTTCTTTTATATGATTCTGAATTTTATTTTTAGAAAAAAAAATGTAAATAAAATTTTTATATAATTTCTCAAAAAAGAAAAAATTATACAAAAATAAAATTTTAATTATCTTTAACACGTTATGGCACTTTATATGCAATTTTTAAACACTTTTAAAGCTATAGGGTTGCCGCAGTTTTTAAAATTTAAGTGAAAATATTTCAGTTCTCACTCTCGTGGACTTTTCTTTACGTGTTTACGAAATTTTGTCCAAATCGGAGACTATAGGAAAAATCTTTTAAATTTAAAACGGAATTACTTTATACAGCTATACCCAGTGTGCTTCGGTACCCTCATCGTAATGGAATAAAATAAATATTATTATTGTAAAAGTATATACACATACATATCTGCAATATCAAAAAGTCCCCTTTTATATAAGTTTGATTTTATGATTCTAGTGTCAATATTACAGACAATTAAAAAAAAAAAAACAGTTGAGAACGAAAAAGTACCAGACAGTGCCTTTTTATAGATTTTGATTAAGTCAGGATGATGCATGTTTGATTTTCATCCAGAAATTCCTCGCATACAGATTTTTATACACTCAGGAAGCTGCGTGTCCAATTTTATGTTTTTAAGTTCAATATTATAGAAAATTCGAAAAGTATTATTAAAGAAAGTAACCTTTTTAAATATTCGTTCAATCAGGATACTGCGTGTTTAATTTTATGTTTATATATTCAATATTTTATAATACTCAAAAAGTACCAGATGAAGTACGAAAAAGTACAAAAATACCTCTTTTATTTAATTTCATGTTCCTAAGTTCAATATTATAGAAAATTCAAAAAGTATCAGTTAAAGAACGAAAAAGTTTCAGAAAATACTCCAGTTTAAATTTTCATTCACTCAAGTCCATGATTGCTTAGTTTTATGGTTTTAGGTTCATTATAATAGAAAATTCAAATAGTACCAGTTAAGAACGAAAAAGTACCAAAAAGTCCCGTTTTATATGTTCTCACTTACTCCGGGCTTAATTTCATGTCTATAGGTTCAATATTATAGAAAATTCAAAAAGTACCTTTTGAAGAACGAAAAATTATCCTTTTATATTTTATCACTAGGTTCAATATTATAGAAAATTCAAAAAGTCCCTTTTGAAGAACGAAAAAGTTTTAAAAAGTCCCCTTTTATAGGTTCTCACTTAATCCAGGCTCTACATGATTAATTTCATGTTTCTAGATTTAATATTATAGAAAATTCAAAAAGTTCCTTTTGAAGAACAAATAAGTACCAAAAAGTCCCCTTTTATAGATTCTCATTTACTCCGGGCTTCACGTGCCTAGGTCCAATTTAATAGAAAACTCAAAAAAGTACCAGTCGAAGAACGATAAAGTACCAATAAGTCCCCTTTTATAGATTCTCATTTACTCCGGGCTCTACTTACTTAATTTCATATTTCTAGGTTAAATGGACGAAAAAGTACCGAAAAGTCCCTTTATTATTAATTTCATGTTTCGATTTCAATATCATAGAAAACTCAAAAAGTACCAGTTGGAGAATGAAAAAGTACCAAAATGAAATTTGGACCGCTAATAGGTCCAACCCCAAATGGAACAATAGGCTATATAAGATCTTAATCGGATGTCACGCCCCTTTTTACGCCCACTTTTTGTAAAACTATTATTACACCAATTTTGCAATCACAATATGCAAAAACTATTAAACCGATTAACTTGAAATTTTGCATAACGATAGGTAAAAGCTTGAAAAGAACTATAGGCTATATATAAGAACTTGATCCGATGCCACGCCTACTTTTTATAAAACTACCCTCACCTATATCTTATCGTATATATATATATATATATATATATATATATATATATATATATATATATATATATATATATATATAAATCAGACTGTTTGTTATGCTTCCACGACAAAATTACTGAACCGATTTACATGCAATTTGGGCAGCTAATAGATCTAACCCCAAGAGGAACAATAGACATATATAGGATCTTGATCAGATGCCACGCACCTTTTTACGCCCACTCATTGTAAAACTATTATTACACCAATTTTGCAATCACAATATGCAAAACCTACTAAACCGATTAACCTGAAATTTTGCATACGGATAGGTATATGCTTGGAAAGAACTGTAGGCTATATATAAGAACTTGATCCGATAACACGCCTCTTTCTACGCCCACTTTTTATAAAACTATCCTTACCTATATCTTATCCTATAATTATATGAAAGAGAAATTCTGTTTGTTACGCTTTCACGGACAAACTGCTGAACCGATTTTCATGAAATTTAGAACACTAATTCTAAAGTGGAACAATAAGCTATATAAAATCATGATTTGACGTCACGATTCTTCTTATGCTCACTTTTTTCTATATAATTGTTATAGCAAATTTTCATTCGAGACTTACAGAAAACTACTAAACCGATTTACATGAAATTTGGTATACCGATCTTAGGATATGGCTAGGACGCCAAGCCCCTTTTTACACACATTACAACTTCAAAACCTATAATATATTATATATATAAAACAGACTGTTTGTTTCTTTGTTTGTGTGTTTGTTTGTTAAGCTTTCACGGCAAAACTGCCGAACCGATTTACATGAAATTTGGGCCGCTAATAAGTCTAACCCAAGAGGAACAATAGGCTATATAAGATCGTGATCGGATGCCACGCCCCTTTTTATGCCCACTTTTTGTAAAACTATTATTAGACCAATTTTGCAATCACAATATGCAAAAACTACTAAACCGATTAATCTGAAATTTTGCATACGGATAGGTATAAGCTTGGAAAGAACTATAGGATATATATAAGAACTAGATCCTATGCCACGCCCCTTTCTACGCCCACTTTTTATAAAACTATCCTTACCTATATCTTATCCTATACTTATATGAAAGAGAAAGTCTGTTTGTTACGCTTTCACGGACAAACTGCTGAACCGATTTTCATGAAATTTAGAACACTTATAGTTCTATTTTAAAGTGGAACAATAGGCTATATAAAATCATGATTTGACGTCACGATTCTTCTTATGCTCACTCTTTTCTATATAATTGTTATAGCAAATTTTCATTCGAGAATTACAGAAAACTACTGAACCGATTTACATGAAATTTGATATACCGATCTCAGGATCTGGATCGGACGCCACGCCCCTTTTTACACCAACTTTTTGTAAAATAATTATTAAACCAAATTTACGTTCAGGCATACAAAAAACTACTGAGCCGATTTTTATGAAATCTGTTATAATGAATGATGTGGAATGAACAGTACGACACATTACATCTTAAAAACCTATAATATATAATAATAACTACATAACTAATAAACTTATTTTCATTAAATTTTGCATTTAATAGGTCTAACCTCAGAAGTTAAAAAAACTCTATATGATATTGATTTGATGCTACGCACATTTTTGTTTTTTGAATAACAATGAACAGCTGTAACACCAAATTTCTAGGCTAAATATAAAAAACATGAACCGATTTTCAAGAAATTTGGCAACAGACAGTGTATTTTTAGAACTTTTTGATCTGGATTTTATGCTTCATGAAATTTTGCATGACAACAGTTCTATCGTGGAAAGTTAGGTTAGTTTGAGGAAGAGAATGTTTAATACATTAAATCCGAATAAATACACCTATACCACTAATTTCGGCAAAAATAATGATCCGTAATCACTCATATTTTTCATACAAAAATATAAAATTTAAATTTATTGTTAAATCGAGATAACAATAAAAATCTGCAATAAGTTAAAAAAAACCATCAAAAATTATCTTGATATAAATTCGGATGCCATTTTTTAAATGCAGCTCAAATCTGTATGAGTATTTGACTACTCATTAATGTGTCCTGAAAGACAGAACTTTTGCAAATCTTATATAGGTATACCTCTGAAACGATGCATATAAAGCATTGTTCATATAAAATATAGATGAATTCATCTTCCAATATCGTTTTATACTTTTAGAAAATTATCCACCAAAAATTCTGCACGTATGTAGCACCGTATTTATTCCAAACTTTTCAAATT